GTCACATGACTGTGTCCCTTGTATCACAAACGGTCCCACTAGAACTGCTCGTTTGTCTAGAAATGTTCGTCTGTTTGTCTGTCTATCGGACCTGTAGTTCTCTTTATGTCTCAAAGACATGAGGCTGCCCTTCACTTATCCCCGTCTTGGAAAGATTTGAGCATTTTTCGCTGTGACACAAAGCCTTTTCTTTTAATACACGCACACGCATACAGACAAATATATGTCAGAATCAGAGAGGGCATCAAATCCAATATATATAGAGAAGCCTTATATATATGTGTACACACACATGTGTGTACCCCCCCCCAAATAGTGATGTCGATCTTGAGCTGTCTCTGACCTCTTCATTCCCCCAGCTCTATTGGTTTTTGGTTTTGTTTTGTTTTGTTTTGTTTTGCTTTGTTTTTTGTTTTTTGTGTTTTTTTAAATCTCGGGTCTATGGAAGGAGGGGGTACACTTGGCGTCCTGTTCGGGGTTTGATCACAGGCTTCAGGTCAAACCGCTCCTGCGATAAGGTGATTTGCTATGTTTGCTTATTATTTGTCAAGGTTAAATTTGTTGCTGGTGGCTGCCACGGGAGGAGGGATGGGTTGGTCTCAGAGTGGGAGAGAAGAGGCCATTCTTCACCCGTGTGTCTGCACGTCAGCCGGACCAGGGGTGATGTCTGTCCGGTTCTCATCACGAAACTATGGTGAGAAATGGACTGAATCTGGACCACGGGACTGATAACGCAACAAAGCCCCGATGTGGCCTTTTCTATTTACAAATCGGCTGCAGCGCAGATCGCGTCTGTGCAGACTGGACATTTTTGGGGAGAGTTGGTCTCGGTCACCCTTCTCCTCTCCGGACTAAGGTCCATTTCTGCGGAGCTGCTGCAAAGACTTAAATCCCAGCAGCCGCTGTTGCCCCTTTAGCCACCCGCGTCCCGTGTCATTGTCGAGGTACCAAAGCTGAGTGATTTTTACATAGTTTCATGGAGCTAAAAAATCTCGGGCAGTTTCACGGAGCTAAATTGCAGCCAAGGCACGAACTCGAAGGTGGGGGGAAGCGGGTGTGTGTGTGGGGGGCGGCGGGGGGCTCCCTTCCTACAGGACATCCAGAATCGCTCGCATTGTTTTCGGGAGACTCAGCTCCCGCATTGCTTTCCAAAGCAAAGGCTAAAGCGCTTTGCAAATCTATCCAGAGATACAGCGCAGCGCTCCGAGGTGGATAGAAGGGTGATTGACAAGAAGGAGGGAGGAGGGAGAAAGAGCCCCCACTGAAGAGGGGTCGCCTGTATTTGTTACTTGTTGAAATTCCCATAAAATTGAACAAGACCCTGCTCTCATATGGGTTAAGTCAGGCTAAAATCCTCTTCGGTGTGGTCCAGCCCAGACTGTCTTTGTTTAGTTAACCTCCAAGACCCGCATTTAAAAGGGCTATTTGGAAAATTTCCCCGTAAGAACCCAACATCTTTTACCCATTTCTATGCCTTGTTTTCTCTGCCAGTGCCCCCCTTTTGCAGATTTTTTTCTCTCTCCCTACATATATATTTTCTACGATCACCAGAGTGGCAGGAGGGGAAGAGAAGGAATAGCGGGGGGCGCATTTCCCCTCTGGTTATAGAAATATATTGGATCTGCTTTAATCTCTCCCGCATTTTGAAAGATTAGCGATTTTTTGGTAGCTTGTAGAACTTCGGAGATATTTAAAGCCTTTCCCCCCAATTGCGCCTGCTATAAATCTCCTTGGGTTTTTTTTGTTTTTTTTTTAATTTTCATTTTAATGCTTAATGAGTTTAAGGATTTTACGATTCTTTATGGTTTTCCTAGTAGTTCTGGCTAAGAACATATATATTCTTAGCCAGAGCTAAGAATACGCACACGCACACACGAATGTATATATATTCTTAGCCATAGATAGATAGATAGATAGATAGATAGATAGATACACGAACATATATTCTTAGCCAATCTAATCTAATCCAGTCTATCATCTTTGGCTAAGAATATATGTACGTTCGTGTGTGTATCTATCTATCTATATATATAATATTCTTAGCAAGAGCTACTAGGAAAACCATAAAGAAAAGAATAGTAAAATCATTTATATATACATGCACTTACGTATACACACGCACATATGCTTGGGGGGGGATATTAAAACAGGTAAGAAACCCTGAAATTGACAAAGCCCAGGTGAAATTGACAACGCCTATGTGAAACTAACTGCACGCATATGAAACGGAGTGCCTGTATCTGAAGGTGATACAAACACACACACGTAAATGCATATATAAAATGATCGTGAAAATACTGAGAGCGATCACCTGGGCGCTCTACAAATACAGCCCCCAACACTAGATAGCAGAGTAGTGGTTTTTTCCTCTCTCTCTCCCCTTATCCCCCCCACACAGTAGTAGGGGAGAGTGTTTCCACCAAGAATAGGGCTCCCTCCCGCCCCACCCCCGCACCCCATGCAAAGCGGGTTGTGTTTGCTCTCCTCCCGCGGAGCGCCACAACAGCCGGCTCTGTATCTGACAGCTTCCCTGCCCCGGGGGCCGAAGCCAGGCGGGTCCAAGCGCGAAGGAAGCCCCTTGTCCCTGCCCCGAGAAGCGGGTCTAGCCGCAGGCGGGGAGGGGGCAGGTGCCTACCTGAGAGGTCTTCCCGGGCGTTCTGGTGCAGGTAGCTCTGCTCCAGGGAGTAGGAGGACATGCTGGAGTGGATGCCCGAGGGGGCGGCGTTGCTGGGCGGCAGGGCCTGCTGCTTTATGTAGGGCGATGCCCCTGAGGCTGTCCAGTGAGCCGACGGGCTGGCGTAGGGGGAATGGCACTCGATGGCACTAGCCATGGCGGGCGAGGAGGGCACGGGGCTGCTGCTGCTGTCCGGGCCGTGCTCCCCGTTGGCAGGCACGGGGCAGCTGGCCATGTAGGTCGAGCCCGGGTTGGGGGACATGTGCGGTACGTGGTGGCCCTCGTAGGCGCCCGCCATGGAGTTGGGCATCATGTCGAGGTTGTAGCCATTGGCGTGGCAGGCCAGCGGGGCCGAGGGCGCCTGGAAGTCGAAGCCCTGCGGCAGCAGCGAGGCACTGAAGCCCAGCCCGTTCATCATGCGGTACATGGGCTTCAGCGCCTGGCACTTGCGGCGGAAACCCCGCGGGCGGCGGCGGAACGAGCCCTCCTCGAACATGAACTCGCTGGCCGGGGCGATGGTCCAGTAGTGGCCCTTGGCC